ATTTTTTTTTTATCACAATGTATGTGATAAAGGTCTGTGTCCAGTGCCACTCAGGGAACCTTACAGAAAGTTCCCTCCTCCACACCTCTGAGGAAGTGTGAGCATTGGTCTGTCTGAGAGCTTTGGGGAAGAGAACACAAGGCAATTGACCTCAACTGAGTCCCTACTATGTGTGAGGCATGCAATGTACATTTTCTCACACAAGTTACCCACTGCTTTAGGTGGGTGCAAATGCCATCTACCTTTCTCAGATGAGGAAATGGGTGTGTGGCAAAGCTACTAAAAAGTGGAGATGAGACTTGATGTTGTCTGCTTGACCTCAAAGCCCCCCATACTGAGAAATGGATGTAGAAAAAGCACAGGGACAAGCATTCAGCCAAGGCTTACAGTGTAGCAGTAACACTTGTCCTAATGAGGCACGAACTGGAGTTGCTTTCTCTCCAGAAGCATCTCTTCCCTTTTTCCAGTATCCAGAACCTTCTGCCACTCTCCCCACTATGTTTGTCAGTCTAAGATTCATTGGATTTTGCCATTTTATACTTTAAGATTAGATGTGTGAGCCTGACTAGACAGTCAGTACTGGCTTCCACAGCTTATCTTTCCTCCCTCCTTCCTGGGGGCCAGAGACTGGCCCTTCTCCCCCTCTCCAAAAGAGTCCTGATGGTTTTGGTTGGGCTGGTCATCCATAGCCCTTGGGATGTTCCTTTAGAGTTGGGACAAAGAGCAGAGCACAGTAGCATGTTACTCAGGGACCCCCAGGTTGGTGAGCAGCGGCCAGAGAGATGGACAATTGGGAATCAGGTGGCACCAAAGCCTTTATTACTTATGTTGCTTTCCCATGGACTGCTCCTACCACTGACCACCAATTACCATTAACTGAGTGCTTATTAGGAGCTTGGTCCTTACCACTTAGCTCTGCTTTACAGTTGAGCTGTTTGAAGCTGAAAAAGCTCAGAAACATGACGGCGCTCAACTTGTAGTGAGCATGGAGTTGACATTTGAGCTTCCAACCTTGTTCCAATCCTTGTTATCTGACTCAAACTTGTCCAGCTCTGGACCTAAGTTCCTTTTTCAGGAACCTTGACAAGAATGGGTTGCTATTCAAGAATATGGGAACCAAAATATTTTCAAAGCTACCAAACAATATGTTTGGTAATTCACACGGAGCACCTGAGGGGCTCAGTTGGTTAACGTCTGACTCTTTTGATTTTGGCTCAGGTCATGATCTCCTAGTTCAATTCAGGAGTTCGAGCTCTGTATCAGGCTCTGTGCTGACAGTGCAGAGCCTGCTTGGGATTCTCTCTCTTTGCCCTTCCCAGGCTTGTGCATACAGGCGCGTTCTCTTTCAATCTCTCTCTCTCTCCTCTCTCTCAAAATAAATAAAACTTAAAAATAAAAGAAATTCACATGTTAGCATTTCCTACAAAAGGAATTCACGATTGGGAAGGGATTACAATATTTCCATTTATGTGTGATAATTTTTCTTTGCCACTTAGCAATAATTACTGTGACTGAAATATTATATGTATTGTATATCATTAATATGAAAAAACAAAATGTTGTTTTACGTTTTAGGAAGTGATCTCTATACCCAACATGAGGCTTGAACTTACAACCATGAGATCAAGAGTCACATGCTCTACTGAGCCAGCCAGATGCCCCAAGAAGGGCATTACATTCTGATCATGCTTTTTCAATCTCTGATTGTACAGTGTCTCATCCTAACTAAAACCAAGTGAAAAAGGACGTTATTTCCCACAGAGTTTGGAACAGAGTTCATCCCTGAGTTTTCTGGTGCATACTGCAACCTGGAAAAGCATCTTTTAACAATTATTCTGTTAGCCAACATTTGTAATGCGCCCCTTTGCCCCTTCTTTTCAGAGATTCTTTTCACTGACTAACCTCATTCTTTCTCTTTCTCCTGCTTCCTATGAGAAGGTAAACACCTGGCATTTCTCTAGTGACAAACATTCTCCAGAAAATTGAATAAAAAAGGAACATTAAGAAGCAGCTCTTAAGGGGCGCCTGGTGGCTTAGTCGGTTAAGCGTCCGCCTTTCGCTTAGGTCATGATCTCGCGGTTCGTGGGTTCAAGCCGCGCATCGGGCTCTGTGCTCACAGTCAGTTCAGAGCCTGGAGCCTGTTTCAGAGTCTGTGACTCCCTCTCTCTCTCTGACCCTCCCCTGCTCACGCTGTCTCTCTCGCTGTCTCTCTCTTTCTGTGTCTCTCTCTCTCTCTCTCCTAGAAATAAATAAAACATTAGCAGCTCTTAAATCTCCAGTGCCTGTTTTGTTATTTTAACAGCTGCCCCCTGGCTTCTCCGTTAAGGCAGGTACTTTGCTGGGGTGAGAAGTGCCTCCATCTTGACAATGAACTTGAACTTGAATAAAGGAGGGTTTTCAAACTGGGTTCCCTGAAGTTCTTGGGGACTCCACGGGGATTCTCGGGTGGGCTGGGGGGACAGCAGGACCCGGGTACATGTGTGATGGAAGCAGAGCTGAGCTGGCTTTAGGTCTGCTTTTATACTGGGTACCATATACAGTTTTGTAGGAATAAAAAAGTTCTACAGCCACAAAAAGGTTTGAAAGCCGCTGTACATAGACTTGAAGTCCCTCCCAGAAATTTGTAACAGAACCATCCGCTGAACTCTAAAGCTAAGGTAAGATGCTTCATCAACATCTGGCGTTACAACGAGAAGTAGTTATAAAATGATCCTGCAAAATGACGGGACATGTAAGTAGGTGGTAACAACATGGCAATGGTTTCGAGGCAGGAAATGTGTGTGGGGGGCCATTCCATCTACTGTGTCCTCCTGAACTTGCAGCCAAGGTTGGCTGTTCTGACAGAGGGGCTCTGGCTATCAAACTGGATCAGGCTTGCACCCATGGAAGGCATGAAGGTGACAGCCCGGTAGATCAGTAACAACTGTCATCAAATATTTGCTTTTGCTTTAAAAATCAACTCCTTCCCCTTCTTTTATAACTATGTTCTCTTTTTAATCAAAAAAAATTTTTTTTTAAATTTATTCATTTTGAGAGAGAGAGAGAGAGAGAGAGACAGAGACAGAGCATGCGAGCAGGGGAGGGGCAGAGACAAAGAGAATCCCAAGGAGGCTCCTCACTGTCAGCGGGAAGCCGGAGGACACAGGGCCTGAACTCATGAACTGTGAGATCATGGCCTGAACCAATATCAGGAGTCAGATGTTTAACTGACTGAGCCACCCAGGCACCCCACAACTGTGTTCTCTTAATGCCTACTTGCTGACTAGACAATTACCCTTCGAGATCCACAATGTACATGTTAAAAATGATCAGAAAATACCACTATCTGCATGTCTCATATTTTGTTATTAATGTTTTCTTTTCATGAAGTTATGGATATTTGAGTCTTATCTTCTAAACTCTAGATTTTTGGGGCATCTGGGTGGCTCAGTCGGTTAAGCGTCCAACTTTGGCTCAGGTCATAATCTCACAGTTCGTGGGTTCAAGCCCCGTGTTGGGCTCTGTGCTGACAGCCAGCTCAGAGCTTGGAGCCTGTTTCAGATTCTGTGTTTCCCTCTCACTCTGACCCTCCCCTACTCATGCTCTCTCTTTCTCTCTCAGAAATAAATAAAAACATTTACAAAATTAAAAAAAACCTCTAGATTCTTTGAAAAATTTTTTAATGTTTATTTATTTTTGAGAGAGAGAGAAAGAGAGAGAGGACCAGAGAGAGAGGAGACCCAGAATCCAAAGCAGTCTCTGAGCTATCAGCACAGAGCCCAACACGGGGCTCAAACACATGAACTGTGAGATCGTGACCTGAGCCAAAGTTGGACGCTTAACCAACCGAGCCAACCAGGTGCCCCTAAGCTCTAGATTCTTACAGAGAAGCAGAATCTAATTTCATTCATCTCTGTACTACTGCTTGGAAGTACCTAGCGTCGTACAGGCATGCCTCAGAGACATCACGGGTTTGGTTCCACACCACTGCCATCAAGCCAATACTGAAATAAAGCGAACTGAATACATTTTTTTTTTTTTTTTTTTGGTTTCCCAGTGCATAGAAAAGTTACGTTTACATTATACTGGAGCATATTAAGTGTGAAATAGCATTATAGCTAATGTGTATATTTAATTGAAAAATACTTCATTGACATAGAGACACAGAGTGAGCAAATGCTGTTGGGAAAATGGCGCCTACAGACTCGATGCCGGGTCGCCACAAACCTTCAATTTGTAAAAAATTGCAGTATCTGTGAAGCGCAATAAAATGAGGTCTGTCTGTACCTTGCTTATGAAGCAAGCACTAGGTAAATATTTTGGAATGAAGGGCTCCCTGTCTTATGACTGGAAGTCGGTCGGCTGCTCAGTACCCCACGGCCCATCAAAACAGACATGCATGGATTTTAAATTGCTCCTAATCCAAATGGGTTTTAATTCTGTTTTCTGTTCTTTCCTTTCTGTCCAGGACAACCAAATAAAACCCCAAGCAGATGGCTCAGCTTTCTTGGTGTGAAGGGAAATGTAAGGACAAACAGCCTCTGTGATGCCAATTTTCCTTTTGCCCTGATCAGAGGAGACTTGTGGAAAACAAAGTCACAAGATATTGTGGCAAATGGGCTCCTAAGACACTCTGTGCCAGGAGTGTCCAACTAATCTAAAAATCCAGGCAACTAAAGAGTTGCCCGGTGGCCAATATATGTCATCCTTTCCAGGTATTAACTTCCAGATTACTCTTGCTCTATAAAAACACATACTGTCTGAGATACGTCTGCTATGGTGATGGTGATGATGGTGATGATGGTGATGATGATGACGACAGCAGTGAAATCCACTGAACACTACATGGCGGGCACTGGCCGAGCCCCTTATGCCCGTGATCTTGCTTACGCTTCACAACTGCCTTACGAGGTAGGGCTATTACAACTTCCAGGTGCCACGTGATCAGCCCACACACGACCCAGCATGGCAGAGCCACTTGACCAAGGACTCGGGGCTTCCACTGCCGAAGTGGGACTTACCTGGGAAGCACAGAGTTAGGTGGCCTGGACTTTGCAGGGGATGCGACTTTTGGTTCTGGCCCAGAGCTCCCAGAAGGTCCTGGCAGAGAGTCCTGCGCCGGCCCGGGCTGGTTCGGAAGTACTTCCCTTGCTGAAGTCAGGAGATGCTCTTTATCTTTAACTTCTTTTTCTCGGGACTTGGCTTTGTGTTCTGCCAGAAGGAGGTCAAACTGCTTTTTCCGGCCTGGGACTGCCCTCCGATGGCTTAGCGAATGTGTCTAAGGAGAAGAGAGATGAAAAGCACAGCCTCTTTGATCAGCACATAAACCTGCTTCCCCTCCATTTCAGAAACAGCAATTCATGGGAATTTGGAGGTGCTTGAAAAGTCAACTTCAAGGCAACGGCTCCTGTTCTGTGGCTGGGAAGAGGCAGACACCACACAAACGCAACCATGCCCTATACTCCTGGCGTTAAGAAGCCAAAGCTCCCTCCAGAAAATGGCATAGGATGACCAGCGTCCACGCAGAGCCCACGGAAACCTCTCTGGATGAAAGGCAACGGTGAGGGCGCGCTAGAGTTAATCCAGGTGCAGGTGGGAGGCTGGCTTTGGCCCAGACACACAGAGCCACCGGGCAGAGGGGGCCACGGCCTCAAACCCAGAGCGCTAGCACTTCAGTATGAAATACGGGGCCGGGGGCTACCCGATGGCGGCCGCTTCGGGTCGACTGTCCCCCTGGCCACCCGGCGTGGCTGGATCAGGGGCGCGGCCGCTCGTCCTCCCCTCCGGGGCCGCCTTTCAGGCGCTGCCGCCGTCGCCGCCGCTCCCGCATACATTAAAACGTAGCAGGGTTTAGAACCGCCTGTGAGTGCCTATAAATACAATTTACTGTCTGGCCTCACAAGTAACAGGGGAAGCCTATTTTTTTTTTTTCCTTCTTAAAAAGCCAGCCAGCTTGAGGCAGGCACTCTGCTACCATGGAAGAGAAGAAAGCATTTCCCTTACAAAGAACAGCTGGGGGTCATGTCGAGGTTCCACACCCTGCCGTGTGCAGAGAGTGGCATGCAAACATTTCGACAAAGGCCCCAGCGAGAGCAGGAAGTATTTTTTATGGAAAGAGAAATACCTTGCAGGTGAGGGATCTTGTGCAAGGTTTCTTTGTCTCGGGATCCAATACTCCACAGTGTTTATTTGGGTCAAATTCTCTCTCTGGTTTAAGAAACAAACAAAAAATATAAGAAAAAAGGAGACTAAATAGGATTTGGCATTAAGACTACATTTTAAAAAATGCACATTTGCACCAACAAGTGAGACATTGTCAGGCAATCTGGGTTTTTTTGTTTGTTTGTTTTGCTTTCCTTTCTTTCTTTTCTTTTCTTTTCTCTCTTTCCTTTTTTTTTTTTTTTTTTTAACCCAACCGGCTGCTAAAATGCTTTGAGAACTGCTCAGGGGAAAATGGCACTCCCCTTTGATCCCTGAGTTCCAGGTCCAGCTTTGGGAGGGATGTGAATGTAGTAGAAGGCACCAGGAGGCGGGTGGGGGCAGGCACCAGAGGGTGAGGAGCCCTGATGCTGTCAACTTCTTGTCACTTAAACGGTTCCCTGGGTACGTGGCACTTTGGGCATAGCTGGCTGCAGACCAGGGAGAGGGCATGAGGCTCAGGGGCCACTGTGTCCTGGGCAGCTCCTTCTACCTTGCCTTCTCGTTAGTTTTTTAGCCATTTAAGTGGGAGATTATTCCTTGACAGGTCAGTGTGACCTGCCTCTCTTTTGTGCTTTGCAACATCCTCAGCACCGGTTTTCCTTGCAGCCACGCTGACCAGAAATGTCCTTTACCTGGTTTGGGAATGTTCTGGCGGTGTTGTAGGCAGGGGCAGGGGGAAAGTTCCAGTGTGTGCTCTGTGTGTGTCTGCAAAGTTGTAAATTGCATAGAGGGCGGGGCCTGCTAGTCTCCCAGCTTACTTTGCACCCAGCATGGGCCCTGTAGCCCCAAATGGGAATGAGCAGGGCTAGCCAGCCGGCTAGGGATGAAGGGCGGCTGCAGGGAGGCCAGACTTTCTCCCTGGACTGTGCATGGCTCACGGTGAGGTTGCTTCTAAGGAGGCTGCACTTTTTATGCCCACTTTGGATCCTTTGTGCCTTCTGGATTACAACAATGCTCCCCTCCCCCTGGAGAAGGAGGGGACGGGAGGCAATCCCTTACGGACCCTGGAGGCTTCAAAGGTTCACCTCTCAGATGGTCTGTGCTGTTTCTAGAAGGCAGCCAGCAAACACCTGAGTCCTGCAGCACAGGGATGATACAGCTCTTCTGGGGCATTCAGGGAGGCCCGGCAGCCGTGTTGGTGGGTGGGCATGTGGGTGGGCATGTGGGTGGGGGTTGTATATAAATTTGGTGGAATGTTTCCTTAAGAGGTTCGAATGGCTGCAAACTAAAAAGAGGATACTTCGGAGTAAGCTCTGAGCACAATAACTGAATGTGTGCTATTCCTAAAAGAAGGTTTGGGGGCAGCTGGTGGTTGCATCGGTGGTGATGATGATGGGTTCGATAGAAACCATTCTGACATCCAAGACAGATTTCCTGGTTCGCTATCAAAATGCTTCCCACTTCTTTCTTTTTTGTTTGTGTCATTGTCATCTTCTTCTCTTTCAAAGACTTTATTTTTAAGTAATCTCTACGCCCAATGTGGGGCTCAAACTCACAACCGGAGATCAAGAGTTGCATGCTCTACTGACCGTGCCATCCAGGTGCCATTCCCTCAACTCGCCTTTTTCTAGTTTCACTTTTAGGACTAGAAAACTGTGAGGCCTGGTGACACCTGTTTCCTAAGCAAAGAAACTCGCTGCCCACCAAAGAGGGCCTGGGCGCCAGCCCCCAGGCTGCCCGCATGGAGCCCTTTCCCTTGGGCCTGTTGGAGTCAGACCCGGGCCCAGCTCCACGCCAGCACTCGTGCTGGCCTGCAGCTGAGCAGGTTGCTGGGCCGGCCTGTAGGAGCTGGCGACCAAATGTCAAAGCGAGATAGGAACAAGCGAGATAGAAACAAAGACCCAATGAGACAAACAACCAACAAAATGCAAATCCAACAGACACCAAGAAATCCCCCTATCCAACTTTAGGTCAGGGTGCAGGCCGGCGGTCATGGTCACGCTTCTGCCTCTGGACACTGCCCAGCCGGGCCTCCTGGTTTTTCCAGGGATGTTACCACCCGGCTCTGCAGAGTGAAATCGAACATTCTATTCAGGAAGAGAGCCAGGAGTAGGGGGCTCCCATCTGCACAGAAAGGCCCCTCAAGGCTCCAAGAGAGCCCCAGGCTCTACTTTCCTTCCTCGATAGTGGGTGAATAGTACCTAGAGAGATTTTTTAAGGTAAAAGTTTTCTGAATGCTTTGGGTCCAAAATACTTTTAAGAAATATATATATGTGTGTGTATATATATATATATTTTTAAAGTTACAGATGTAAGACAGGAAAACCAAAATACAGATTAACCTAAAGTGGAAAATAAAAATGACTCACATTCCTAGGCTGATTAAGAATTATGCTTCTGAGGCACCTGGGTGGCTCAGTTGGTTGGGCGTCTGACTTTGGCTCAGGTCATAATCTCACGGTCTGTGAGGTCAAGCCCTGCATCAGGCTTTGTACTTATAGCTCAGAGCCTGGAGCCTGCTTCTCATTCTGTGTTTCCCTCTCTCTCTGCCCCTCCCCCACTCACTCAGTGTCTCAAAAATAAACATTAAAAATTAAAAAAAAAAAAAAAGAACTATGCTCCTACTGGAGGGTACAGTATCTCTCCCACAGGGTGGCTTTCGCTGTAGTTTCTTTTTTTCTAGTCAGCATTTGATAAATTCCCGTGGTGTGTGAAGAAGTTATAAAGTTCATAGCTTTTCTTGGTCTTTTGGAGGAAGCAGAACTGCCAGATTTAGTTCTACAACAAATCCAAAGCCACTATCATCCCCATGGGGGCCTCTAAGGGCAACCATTGCCTCAGACACTGGCCATGTGCACCTTTCCAGGCATCCTGAGTGTCTATGCAGACAATCAAGGAGTAGATCTGAGAGAAATCCCTCAACACCTCACCTGCTGTGCCAGTCCAAGTGTTCCCAGATGGGAAGTCCAACCCGATTATGTGGGAAAGGCAGTGGTAGCCCCAGACCACAGAATCAACATGGCAACCCACTAGACCAAAGGACAAAGAGGGGTGGATGGCGCAGTCCCGAGCCTGCCCTGAGGTGCTGTGGGCTATCACTGGTTGCCCACCTTCCCTGCACTGAGGCTTCCACAGAAGCCCGGGGGGCAGTTCAGCCTGTCAGCATGCGGTAAAACCATTAGAATGCATGGACTGTTGTGGTTGGTGGAAAGGATTCCACCTCCTGGGTCAATAGGATCAATTCCCACTGAGCACTGAGCTGAGTGAGACCTCGTCCGGCCCAGAAATAAGAGAACCAGTTCTTCCTCGCGTTTTTAGGCGGGGGTCCTGCTTGCAGGTAAATTCCGTGTCCCCCTTAAAATAAAACAGACCTGCTTAACTGTAAGAGCACACCACTCCTTGGTTACGTTTGCGACCCAGAGAGAGTCTAATCATGAGCTTGGCTCTAAGGACACAGACACGTACCTGAAAGTCTCCTGTAAGGCTTGTTGTTGTTTTTGGTGCCATTTTGGTGTTTCTTGTCTATTGTGGCAGACAAAATTCCTTTGCCATTTAAGATCTTCTCTGGGGAGGGTGGCACTGACTTGGACATCAAGACTGGCTTAATTAAAGGTGGGGTGGAGACTGCAGAGGACGAGGTGGAGCAGGAGGTGACCGCAGTAGTGGTTGTCGAGTTCATTTTGACATTGGCACCATCTGCCTTCACTAGGTTAGGAATTTTCTCTAAACTGACTACAGGAACCGGAACGCTGAAAAATAAAGGAATAGACACACACAATTGCCTTCTTTGATACATCTGGTCCGCTGAGAAGCTACACCCGCTTATCCTCCTCAGAACACTTCCTTATCACTTATTTATACTCCCCTTACAAGCGAGCAGCATGATTCCCGTTTTGATGGGAGGGAGATTTGTGCCTGGGAAAGGACCAATGCGGGGTTCAAGGCTGGCACAGCGCCAGGCAGGGCATCAGAGCTGGCTGATTACCTCCTGTACCGGCTGTCCTCATAGACCCTGCAGCTCCCCCTTCGCAGCCCTGACATGTCACCGGTCTCTGAGACAGCACCTTGGGCAGAACAAGGTGCCCGCTGTGAAGCTCAGGAAGAGATGTGTTTGTCCCCTGAAGAGGGTGTGCCACTGTGCCACTTGCTGACTCACGTCCCCTCCTCCTGCTGCTCGCTGGTCTCCCACCTCGGCGATCAGGCCTGACATCTGCTTAGCTCGGGAGCGCTGGCAGACTCACGCAGCACGGAGGCACGGCTGCGGGCCAGCCAGCCATGCTACCTGCTGTTGGAGGACTTCTGGATCACTCCTGTCCTGGTGATGGGCTTGGACTGAGAGCGGCACCATGTAACATTATCTAATGTGCCATTTTAGGCAGCTAGTTATGTAAATAGGCAGTTCTCAAGGCTGGCAGGTGAGAGGATGAATTTTAAGAAGACAAAGCACGAAGGTGCTTGTTTGCTCTTCAAAATCTGTCACCTTAGCCCCACTTCCCTGCGATTTCTCCGGTAATGGATATGCATTTGATTTCTGTGCATTTAATGCCGGGGGACCCTGTGTCTGGTGGGGGGAGGGCTGTGGAGGATTCTGTCTTCGGGTCTTAAAAGATGAGATGAGATGAATAAGCTTTTCTTTGGTTCCTGAACTGTTCTCTTTCCTCCTTGCAGGAGGGCAGAACGCTAACACGTAAGCCCCCCAATCATCTCTGAGCTGAGAGGAGCCGACTTAGCTATTTGAATGCCAAATGATCTAGAATATAGCTTATAGGCATGCAGACAATGTAGGGCACGAGAAAGAGGCTGGTTTTGCAGGGGAGGAGTCTCATCTGTCCACGTGGCTGGCTAGTTCCTCTCAGATTTAGTGAGAGATAATTTTTTTGACCAATTTGTTCACAAAATTATTTGAGCAACCCCTTAGCCCTTGCCCCTTTGCTGACTTTGAAACAGAATCGCAGGTGTTATTTATAGGTCTTTGCCAGTGAGAAGGGCACTCAGTGGTGAGGCAGACTGTAGCTGGACTTCACCCACTTTACCCTGGGACCATGCACTTTCTTGGCCTGGGGAAGAATGCTGTGGGATTTCAAGTCCCAAGTGAGGGGAACGTGGACCCGTGGGTTTCAGGAGTACACTGAGTCCCAGATAATTCCGCCTTTGATCAGTGTCTCAATCAATGAGTTATGTCCAAACTGCTGCTACTTTCAATTTAATGGCAAGTCGCAAAGCACTCACACATTGCTGAAAAATAGCCCAAGAAGTCCTTGAAAAGTCAGCACAGTAAGAAGCCAGAAAGAGGTTATGTGGTGAAGTTAGTGCTGCATTCCTATTTCTTTTTTCTGAATAGTAAAAAACGTAAAACCATGGGATATGGAATTCCTCTAAGCTCCTTCCCTAACACAATTTTAAAAGACACAAACTATACAAATTAGGGTCTTGAAGGGAGAGACATGCACCCACATTCACGGCAGCACAATTCACAATAAGCAAAAGGTTGAAAGCAACCCAAGTGACAATTAATGGCTGGCTGGATAAACAAACTGTGGTATATCCATTCAGTGGAATATTATTCAGCCTTAAAAAGGAAGAAAATTCTGACACATTGGATGAACATTGAGAACATTATGCTAAGTGAAGTAAGTCAGTCAGAAATAGACGAATACTGAAAGATTCCACTTATGTGAGGTGATCATAGAGAGTGATCATATTCATAGAGATACAATTAGAAATATGGTTGCCAAGGGCTAGGGTTGGGGATGGGGAATGGGAGGCTGTTGTTTCATGGGTATAAAGTTGCTGTTTTGCAAGATGAAAAGAGTTCTAGAGATTAGTTGAACTATGTGAATGTACTTAACGCTATACATTAAAAGTGGTTAGAATGGCAAATTTTCTTATGTGTATTTTACCACAAGTAAAAATACAAACCACCCCCCACCATAAACACAGACACACAAATCACAAAATTCATGGAACTTAAATTATACATCAATATCCTGGCTTTAAAAACACATATTATAAGAGCCTGCTTAAAAAGCTTTTTTGTTGAGGGGCGCCTGGGTGACTCAGTCAGTGAATCATCTTACTCTTGATTTCAGTTCAGGTCATGTTCTCACTGCCGAATGATGGAGCCTGATGTGCTGGGCGTGAAGCCTACTTATGATTCTCCTTCTCTTCTGCCCCTCTCTAGCTCATGTGTGTGCTCCCTCTCCCTCTCTCAAAAAATAAAAAAAATACCATAAAATAAAGCTCTTGTTGATTTTAGTTACCTTTGTTCTGATCTGTTGATATTTGGTTTTTTAGAATAAAAAGTTCAACCTTAGATGGGAAGATTCTCTAATGCCTGAATGGTCTTCTCTGATATACTTCTTTGTGAAGTCCAGTAAATTCAGGAAAGGAAATTAGGACCCTGGGGTTTCAAGCTGTTGTTGCATGAGCTGGTACGAGTAAAGAGAAGGCCTCTAGTTTCTGTGGAAAACGGCCAGGGCACATGTTGAGTACCCATGAGCTCAACCGACAAAGATATAATGTCAGGCTGGAATAATACAGAGCAATTGTATGAACTGAAATAAATGTAAAAACCAAGCCAAATGGTCCTCAAATGGTCACAGTACAGTTTGCATTTCTCCCCTAAAGTCAACGTTCAGCTCCAATGTGCTCCTTAATTCGGCCACAAGAGCACAGGTACGCTCGGTCTAGCCATTTGGAACAGTGCCAGTTGACTCATCTCTTTGGTAACGCTTCTTTCCAACTGTGTGTTAGTAAGTGAGCTTGAGCCAGGCCAGCTAATATCTGTGACTGATCTCCTAATTTGGGATTTTCTCCATTCTATAACAAGTGTGGTGCATTCATACCCTCTATTGCCAATGCTTCCAGAACTCTAGACTTCAATCCCAACACCCATAGGCAGGATGTGGAATTGGAGCCCAGCAGAAACTAGAAGAGAAAGCTACTGTGAAGTTCTCTGGGATTGAGTTTCCTTGCATTGGAATGGGAGGTGTTAGGGGGAAAATGTCTATCAAGAGTGTTTCATCAAAGGGTTCCGAAGACCAGATGAGTTGTAAGGAGCTGAGCCACTGAGTAAACATCTCTGATGCCAGGTAACTGGGCCCCATCTTGGCAGTGGGAGGGGATAGGAGACTCAGTTGTTATGGGTCGGAATTCTAAGGGTGTCCAGTAACTAAACGGAGAAGGGCTGTAGGTAGAATGAAGGAGGAGATCCTGGGAACTGATCTCCCTGAGATCACAACCCTGAGATCAAGAGTTGCATGCCATTCTGACTAAGCTAGCCAGGTGCCCCTGACTTTTATCTACGGTAACCTGCCTCTGGTCTGAAATGAGAAGGTACTTCTTTTCGGAGTTAAGACAGGGAAGCAGGCAGCTCAATGATGGGGGGAAGGGTCAAACACGTCCTCAAAATAAACGAGAATCAGAGAGACAGAGAGGTGAAAAGCCTTCCTGTTTGCCCTTGCCAACCTGATTCCCCAGGATAAATGTCAGCCATCAGTCCACTGGAATATTTAGTCACTACTGCTGGCAACAGCTCTCAGATCCTAAACTAATGAACAAAGGAGAAAATGATTCCAAGATGGTGCAACCCCATTTGGAAAACCAATCCCAGAGATTCCATCTCATTTCAGCTGAGAGCCCTGGCCCTTGCTTCACTTACACACACATCCCTGCGTGTCTACACTCCAGAGCTTGAGGGTGTGGCTGTCTGGAAACCATCATCTCATGAGTACCTCCTGCTTTCTCCCATTGTGCCCTTTCTCACTGTCCCCATTCCCCCTACTACCACCGCTGGCCAGTACAGTGCCTCAGCCCTGAGCAGCGGACCCTGAATAACAGGTTTAATTTTTTCTATTGGAAAGAAGCCAAAAGATTCTGACCCCTGCTTTCTCAGTGTGGGTATCTCCTCCGCATAGAATTTTACTAACTCAAACACCTCCACGTGGGGTCAGGGGCTAGAAGGGGTGGGTAGGTGGAAACACCCAGATGACTAAGCAATTTATCACTCTGTTCTTAGGGAATAAGCAAGCCTGGCAGTTACCACCCCCTGCCCAGGAAAGCCAAAGACCCTCAAGTTTCAAGTTCCTTCCCTTTCCATCTTAAGGGATGCAACTCACACACACACATCCCAGAGTCCCACAATTAGTTGCATTTATCACCTCGCTATTGTCCTTTCTTGGAGGAGCAGAGTTTGAAAGGGAAAGGCGAGTCCCCCTGTCCCTGTTGCTTTCATAATGCCTGTTTTGTTCGCCTCCAGGGAGCCCAGGGCTGCGGCTTGTTCTCCTGCTGTGCCTAATATACTGGGAGTAGTTATCTCCTTGTTATCTCTGTACCTCTATCTCTGGTCCTGGAAAGTCCACCCTCACCCTCCTCGATATGCTGGGGGGAGGGGGGTGGGGGGGCGGGGGGAGACGGCTACCTTGCTTCTTTTCTGCTGCTTTGGCTGCCATGTCTTCTTCCTGAGTGCCTGTCTGAATTTATCATTCAGGACCGAGGAGGGTGCTCTGGCTTTAAGAAAAATGGCTCTCCCGGCACCAAGTGGATTCCTGCCCTGTGTGTCTGCAGAAGAGCAGAGGTAGGAAGAATCTCTTTGCCGTTTCAAGGGCCACCCGTGTGTCTTGGGGCCAGCTGCTCTCCTGCCAGCCACACAGTCCTGCGGATCATGATTTATTCTTTCGCCAACAGATAAGCCTTAAAAGAACGGTTTGGAAAAATCTGGAGGCCTGCAGAAATCGTTGCCAGCCCTGCT